CAACCTTCCTTCCGAGGAGTGGCTGGTGGGTTTGAACCGCCAGCCTTCTGGTGAGCAGTCAAGTGCCTTAGGCACTATGCTACCAAAGCTCCTATATATATATAAATATAAAGAGAAATTTATCTGAGGAAAATGGCTCACACTCTTATAGAAGCTGGTAAATCCCAAGTTCTTGTATCAAATGTTAAACTGTAAGTTTTTCCTGACTCATGCAGCAGCAGGGGCTGATGAGCTCAAGGTTGGCAGGCAGTGTACTGGCTGTTGATTCCGACAGATGACGAATCCAAAATCACCAGGCCAAATGGTGGATTGTTGGCTCGTGGGCAACACAACAGGATCCAGATCCACAGAAGAGTGTCTCTTTTCCCAGGATGTCCATATATATATTGGAAGCAGGCCACACCCCTAGGGAAATTCCCTTCCAACGTATTGGCTGCTCAAAACATATACATCGGATCTCATCATGGGAATAACCACATCACAACAGCTTAAACCACTCAGAATCGTGGTCCAGCCAAGTTGACACACAACCCCAACTATCACAGTTAATTTCCTGGGTAAGTTGTAAACCACTTGGTTTGACACTTTTTGTCTGGCCCTGGGGTGCAGCCTGTTCTATGACTGGTATGCACCTTGCAGGGATTCATATAACAAATGAAGTGACTATAGCCTGTGATGGGAGGTCTGGTGGCATAGTGCCTAAGGCATTTGACTACTAAACAGAAGGCTGGTGGTTCAAACCCACCAGCCAGTCCTCAGAAGGAATATTGGGCAATCCTGTTCCGTAGAGATACTGCCCCGGAAACCCAAGGAAGGGTCGCTATGAGTCAGATTGGACTTAAAGGCAATGAGTTTGTTTTTTGTTTTTTTTTCCCCATAGCCTATGACAAATGAAGTGTCTGTGGCCTACCAAGAGGGCACTGGTCAGTTTATGATCCACCCCCCAACCCCGCCATTCCCCACTCCATGGTAGATCATGCTTTGAAATTGAGAAGTTTGTATACATATGCAGTCAACACCACAGAGTTTTTTTCACACAGGAAACAGGAAGAAGCAGAAAGGAAAAGCAGAGAGAAAAGCAAGGAACCTTCTAGAAGAGCTGTAACATGGGTCAAAGTCTGTAACACTGAAGACAGTGAGAGGCCTCAAAAGGGCCCTGCAGTGGAGTCAGTGGTGAGAGACAGCAGGGCCAAGAGAAGCTAGGAGCGATAATGTACCGAAGAAGAGAAACTTGGCCTCTGTGCTTCCTGATCCTGATGCTGAGTTATAGTCTTTGATGCTGATCCCGAGTTATACCCTATTACTTCCTTAATAAACCACTTAGCTGTAAATATGGTCTGTGACTTCTGTTTGACCATTGCAACAGACTATCACACCCAGCAGAGAAGTAGAGTGCTGTGGGGAGGATTGCTAGTGTCAGAATTTGTAAAAAGGTTGGAGGTGGAGGTATCTGTGAATCAGGTATCTCTGGAATCAGCTTTGGGCTGATCCTGATCATTATTTTCCCAGATGTTAGACAGGTTCTGATGACACAGCTGCTATTAAAACTTGAATTTCACAACTTCTTAGGTTGTTGTTAAGTTCCAAGTCATTGTGACCCTCTGTACAACAGAATGAAACACTTCATGGTCCTGAGCCATCCTCAAAATCACTGCTATGTTTGAGCCCAAAGTTGCAGCCAATGTGTCAATCTATCTTGTTGAGGTCTTCCTCTTTTTCACTGACCCTGTACTTTACCAAGCATAATGCCCTTCTCCATAATGACTGGTTCTTCCTGATAACGTAGCCAAAGTGTATGAGATGAAGTGTCGCCATCCTGTGTCTATGGAGTGTCTGGTGGTACTTCTTCCAAGACAGATTTATTCATTATTTTGGAAATCTATGGTAAATTCAATACTCTTCACCAACACCATAATTCAAAAGCATGAATTCTTCTTCAGTCTTCCTTATTCATTGTCCAGCTTTTTTGCATGCATATGAGGCTAGTGAAAATACCATAACTTTGCTGAGGTACACTTTAGTCCTCAAAGTGACATCTTTGCTTCTTAACACATTAAAGAGGTCTTTTGCAGCAGGTTTGCCCAATGCAATGCATTGTTGGATTTCTTGACTGCTGCTTCGGTGGCCATTGATTGTGGATTCGAGTAAAATGAAATCCTTGACAACTTCAATCTTTTCTCAATTTATCATGATGTTGCTTATTGGTCCAGTTGTGAGGATTTTAATTTTCTTTATGTTGAAGTATAATCCATACTGAAAGCTGTGTTCTTTGATTTTCATCAGTAGGTGCTTCAAGTCTTCGCATTCAGCAAGCAAGCATGTGGTTAATTAGTCTTAGAAAAAACTCAATGATTTTAAAAATAATGTAACACTCTAGTGCTGCCAAGTGTTATTACAATGCATCAAGGTCTTTCAGCACATCTGACTTAATTCACATTATGCGAAATGTTTTTAACTTCCTAAAAAATGGCTGTACAGACAAGCTTCCCAAGGATGGTGATGACAGGGAGAACAGCCTCCAGTATGCTCCATTTACACTAAAATGGGAATCACTAAGTTATCATGGAACCAATTAATAAACCTGGATGGAAGAAAATACTAGCATACCTTGGAGATACTGCCGGTTCAGTTCCAGACCACCACAATAAAGCGACTATTGCAATAAAGTGAGTCACACTAATATTTTGGCTTCCGAGTGCATATAAAAGTTATGTTTACACTATGTTGTTGTTGTTGTTATGTGCCGTAGAGTCGGCCCGACTCACAGCGACCCCCCTTGGGTTTCCGAGGCAGTATCACTACGGAAGTAGGATTGCCCAACCTTCCTTCCGAGGAGTGGCTGGTGGGTTTGAACTGCCAGCCTTCTGGTTAGCAGTCAAGTGCCTTAGCCACTATGCTACCAGAGCTCCCTGTTAACACTATACTGTAGTTTATTAAGTATCCAATAGCACTATGAAAAGGCTTAAAATATCGTAAGCATTACAAAAATATGACACAGAGACACAAAGTGAGCACATGCTATGGAAAAATGGCGCTGATAGACTTGTTCCATGCAAGGTTGCCACAAACTTTTAATTTGTAAAAAAAAAAAAGCATTATCTGCAAAGTACAATGAAACAAGGTATCCCTGTACTAAATGCAAATGTACTGTTACCTTGAAATCTACTGAATTAAATCCACTTGTGTGCCTCTGGTGGTATAGTACCTAAGGCAATTGCCTGCTAACTAGAAGGCTGGAGGTTCAAACCCACCAGCCACTCCTTGGGAGGAAGGCTGGACCATCGACTTCTATAGAGATACCATCTCGGAAACCCAAGGAGAGGTCGCTATGAGTCAGAATAGACTCAACAGCAGCGAGTTTTAGTTTTGTGTGCCCGGCATCAGCATCAAGTGCTTCCGACAAGATTGGAACAATTACTGTGCTCAGTGCTCACTGCGCCCCAAGCTACCCTGGAAAAGACCCCGGGCCAGCACGTTGGTGGTCTGGGATCTCATTAGTGGCAAACTTACTGTGTGACTTTGCATGAGTTGCTTATCCCTTTTTTGTCCTCTACTTTCTTACTGTAGTTAACAATGTACCTATATCCATAATAAGATTATATTTGGGAGAATGGTGAAAAACACTATTCAAATGCAAGCTTTATTTGTGATAAATTATGATATAATGCATTCCTTCCTTCTCTTCTTTTAAGGTAAAACCAAACCAAACACATAGAGTGAGATATTAATTCTCCACTGATCTTAAGGTTAAAATATATATATATATATGAAGCCCACCCCTTAATTCTGAAGCACCACTATTTCGTTCCCATCTGTTGTGTTGAACTGCCTTGATAGCAATGTGAATATGGAATTTAAAAGGAATGGCTATACTTTGTAAAACAGAGAGAATTTAGTAAATGTAAATGAAATCATGATAAACCTCAGCACTACTGTCAGGGATTAAATTTTGTTTTCCTCAAATATGTGTCAAATTGGCTGAGCCATGATTCTCAGTGGTTTGGTGGTTATGTAATGATATGAAGTGGAGGTTATCTCCTATGATACGATCTGAGGTGATAAACCAATGAGTTTTAGGAGGATTAGGGTGGGATGCCCCACTCTTAATCCTGTCCCAGTGCTCATCTGGTATAAAGGGATTAGGGTGTGGTGTCATGCCCTTAATCCTGTCACAGCCCTGATCTGATATAAAGGGAGTTTCCTGGGATTTGGCCTGCAACACCTTTTATCTTATGGGAGAGAAAAGGGTGGAGAGAGAGAGAAAAAAAAAGAGAGAGAGAGAGAGAGCGCACCAGAGAGAGCCCTACCACCACGAAGAAAGAAAAACCAGGAGCAGAGTGTGTCTTTTGGAACCAGGGTCCTGTGCTAGGAGCCTCCTGGAACAAAGGAAGAGAACGAGAAAGTCTTTCCTCAGAGCCAGCACTGTGAATTCAGACTTCTAGCCTCCTACACTATGAGAGGATACCTTTCTGTTTATTAAAGCCATCACCTTGTGGAATTTCTGTTATAGTGGCAACTAGATAACTAAGACAACTTATCCAAAGATATAGGAAGTTATTTCTTACCTCTGGGATTATGACTAGACCAAATATTAAGCCAAAAAGTACAAGGTTAACTCCATACATCCATCGGAGAAAGATGAAATATGATGCCACTGAAGAACCAAAGTGACCTGAGAGAGAAATGATGGGGGGACTTTAAGTGCTGCAGGAGGAGGAAATTAACACGCATTGAGCATTTTGTGCATGGTATACATTTGATTTTCACATCAGTCTGTGGAACCAACATCCTGATCATCTTTTTTTCCCCTAGATAAATAACCAAAGTCTAAGTTGTTGATGTTATTACCAAAACCAAACCGAACTCACTGCCGTCGAGTGGGACCTGACTCATAGCGACCCCTCCTTGGGTTTCCGAGGCAGTATCACTGCGGAAGTAGATTGCCCAAACTTCCTTCTGAGGAGTGGCTGGTGTGTTTAAATTGCCAGCCTTCTGGTTAGCAGTCAAATGCCTTGGGCACCACGCCACCAGAGCTCCCTGTTGTTATTAGGTGCCATTGAATCAGCTCTGACTCCTAGCAGCCCTGTGCACAACAGAACGAAACACTGCACCATCCTCACTATCCTCATTATGCTTGAGCCCAATGTTCCAGCCACTGTGTCAATCCATCTCGTTGATGGTCTTTCCCTTCATTGCTGATCCTCTACTTTACCAACCATGATATCTTACTCCAAGGACTGGTGCTTCTAACATGACCAAAGTAGGTGAGACAAAGTCTGGCCATTCTCCCTTCCAAGGAGCATTCTGGCTGCACTTCTTCTAGGTCATATTTGTTAGTTTTGCTACTCTATGGTATTCTCAGTGTTCTTCCCCAACACCACAATTCAAAGGCAACAACGCTTCTTTGCTCTTCCTTATTCATTGTCTAGTTTTCACATGCATATGAAGCAATTAAAAATACCATGACTTTGGTCAGGTGGACCTTAGTCTTCAAAGTGACATCTTTGCTTC